GCCGGAGCCCCCGAGCGTGGGCCGCGCAGAGCCGCCGGAGGCCCCGAGCGTGGACCGCGCACAGAGCCGCCGGAGCCCCCGAGCGTGGACCGCGCAGAGCCGCCGGAGCCCCCGAGTGTGGACCGCGCACAGAGCCGCCGAGTGTGGACCGCGCACAGAGCCGCCGAGTGTGGACCGCGCACAGAGCCGCCGGAGCCGCCGAGCGTGGACCGCGCACAGAGCCGCCGGAGCCCCCGAGTGTGGACCGCGCGCAGAGCCGCCGGAGCCCCCGAGTGTGGACAGGTAAAGCGGTGCCACTCTCTGCTCTGGAAAAACGTGTGGCGGTTTCCTGAAAGGTCAGTACACACCCGCCACGTGGTTCAGCCGTGCTCCTCCCGGGGTTTGCTCAAGAGAAAGGGAACACAGGTCCTCGGTGAACGCTGTTCGCACGGGTTCACGGCCGCTCTATTTCTATCAGCCCGGAACCGGGGACAAGCCCGATTTCTCCAGCAACTGAATGGAGACGGAGACTGTGGTCCATCGTGAAGTAGAATATCGCTCAGCAATAAAGAGGAGCGAACTCCTGGTACATACGACATAGGCGAACCTCAAATAATTCCACCGAGGGCAAGAAATCAGACCAAAAGGACTACGCGCTGCATGAGTGCATCGACACAGAGGTGCAGAATACGCAGATGAAACCAAGGTGCAGGGAGGCTGCCCAGGGGATGGAGGGTGTGTGCGTGAGCACAGGCAGCTGCTGGAAACGGGTCGCGCATCTGTTCGTTATCTGGATCATGGTGACGGCACCCCCCGCGTGTATACAGGTGTCGGAACGCATCCAGTCATTCGCTGTAAATATGTGCAGTTAACTGGAGGTCAATTATACTCCACAAGAGAAGTGAGAACATATTTTGGTTCTGAAAATTAGTGGTTTCTTACCAAATGCTATTATCAAGGGACATCTTTCCACGTCAGCGTCTACAAAGAGCGCTCGTCTTTGAAGAGCTGCACGGTCTCCATCCTACCGGTAAAATGGAATATGTTTAGCCAGTCTGGATAGGTAGGCATTTAGGCCATTTCTCCTTTTTGCCCTGTGTAAAGCTTTGCACACTTCCAGGGAGATATCTAAAGGACAGATCACTAAAAACAGAACCGTTAAAAAAATTTGGCTGATAATGCCAAACTGTCCTCCAGAAGAGGTATCCCAACTTTATATTCCTAAAACGAGAAAGTCCTTTTCCCTGCACTCTCACAATACAGGCTATTTTCAGTCTTTTTCATCTCTGTGTACCTCATGGGCAAAAACGAGATTTCTTTGACTTGATTTGTATTTCTCTATTGGTAAGCTTTAAAAACTTTTATAAAGTGTAATTTTGTGTATTTCTACATTTATGTACCGCCAGCTCATATGTTTGGCCTACCTTCCTATCATCCTTTTTCTTGTTTATTCCTAGGAGCTCTTTATATAATTATAATCCTCTGACCATTATACATGTGGTAAATATTATTCCCCTACCTGTCAACTTTATTTTTATCTTTGAGTAATTTAAACTTCCTACAGAGTCAAATCTGTCCATCTTTTTTCTTATTTCTTTGCAGGCCGGTGGTGAGTAATTCAGCAAAGCTGCCCCCTTACCCAGAGACACCAGGTTCCTGTAGTTCTCCAGCATCACATCTCTGTACAAGTCCTTCTGGGCGGGCTCCAGCTGCTGCCACTCCTCCTGGGTGAAGTCCACAGCCACATCCCTGAACGTCACTGACTCCTGTAAGAGGAAACCCACAACCACTCACCGCAGGGCCCTGCTCACAAAGGTCTGGAGAAATGGCCGGAAACGTCAAGAGGATTTAGGGAGGCAGACGAGATGTACCTGGAGTGATTTCAAAAGGTGCGGGGGTTCTGAAGGGACCAAGCGCTCAGCGTCCTTGGTCCTCAGACAGAGAAATAAAACAAATGGAAGATTGTTTAGAGCGGAAAGTCACACACTTGGGAAGCAGAGAAGGAACCAGAGGTAGAATGACCATTACCCTGTGAATCACCATGGGCATGAGTTGCCCGGCAAAGGCAGAATCCTAGGTGGGATCTAGTATTTCAACAAACTGTCCTGAGCCCCTACGGAACTGCAGGCACTAGGCTGGGTGCTGGGCACCAGACTCAGAAAGTTCAAGAACCATGGGGCGCCTGGGTGGCTCAGTCGGTTAAGCGTCCGACTTCGGCTCGGGTCATGATCTCACGGTTCGTGGGTTCAAGCCCCGCGTCCGGCTCTGTGCTGACAGCTCAGAGCCTGGATCCTGTTTCAGATTCTGTATCTCCCTCTCTCTCTGACCTTCCCCTGCTCACGCTGTGTCTCTCTCTCTCTCTCTCCTAGAAAGAAACAAAAATATTAAAAAAAAAAAAAAAGAAAGTTCAAGAACCAGGTCCTCATGGACGAGGCATGAACACAAATGGGACAGACCAGCCATTGGCTCAATACCACCGTGAAGGTATGAACGAGAGGGGGGTCAGGACCTGAGGCTAAAACGCAGATGGGACCTGGGGGCCAGGGGGTGGTGGGAAGTTCCTGGGTGGAAACCCCGGTGCCTTCCCAGCTGAGGCCGTGAGCCCTTGGATAAATGAATATCCCGCAGCACGGAAGGAAAGGACGGTGACGACGCGGTCAGTCACAATGCTGACAAGACCTATCACTTGCTACGCAGACCCTATGGGCCGGGTCCCACTCGAAGTGCTTGTTGTAGGCTGAATTCTCTGCCAGCCCCGAGTCCTAACCCCCAGCACCCCCGAATGGAATGTGATCCGGAACCAGGGACCGTGCAGGCATAGTTAAGCGGAGATCACACTGGAGGAGGGCGGGCCCTTGATCCTCCAGGACTGGTGTCCTTCTAAGGCAGGAAGACACACGGACGTGCCCTGGGAGAACACACGTGAAGGCTGGCCTTATGCAGCCACAAGCCCAGAACAACCAGAAGCCAGAAGCGAGGCCTGGAACACATCCTTCCCTGAGGCCTTCGGAGGAAGCACGTCCCTGCCGGCACCGTGACCCTGTGGCCTCCATCCTCCAGGATTGGGAGGACACAGATTTACCTTGTTTAAGCCCCCAGTCTGGGGTCACTTTGTTACGCAGCCTTAGCAAACCAACACATCCCTCTTGGTGACTGTGATCCCTAGTGCTTTGTACCATGCCGGGCATACAGTAGGCGCTCACTACGTAGCTGCTGAATGAATCAATGGTTCAGAGAGTAAGGAGGGCATGAGACTTGAGGAAGGTAATCCACAATTTGAGCTCAGGACAGTGCACACATGGTGTAAGTGCTCAACGGCCGTCAGCTACTGTTATTGCTGCCGGCTCGTCCTCGGCTCTCCCGGTGCCCCCAGCACCCCTGCCCCCTGGGGGGAGACCTCGTCTGCCGGCCACTCCTTCCACTTCCTGGGTGCCTGCCCGTGCCCCTCCCCCCACCCGTCTCTGCGGCCACCACCACTGCCGCGGAAGCAGCATGCACGGTGGTTAATAGCGTTTGGAGTTGGGAGCCTGGGGCCCTGCAGTGAAATCCTGGCTCTCCCTCTTCCTGGCTGTGTTTCCTTGGCCTCCTGTCTTAACCCTTCTGAGCCTCGATTGTTCAGCGGGCTTTGGAACCACAATGTCCCCCCCCACACACACACACTTGGGAGCGGTCATGGGCTTCGGAACAACAATGTCCCCCTCGCACTGGTCATGGGCGTTAAGTGACGTAAGGCGTGTGTGCTTCCTGCACGGCGTCTGGCCCGGCTGCAGTATGCGCCTGCTGCGTGTGGACTTCTGCTATCGACATCTGATTAATTTTACCATTTCATATATACATCTCATATATACTTAGTATTAATACTAATTATTACCACTGTAATAATATTATTTTGTTCTGTGAACTAATACAACCTTTGGCCAGTCCTGATAATAACTCCTTCTCTGTTTTTTATGTCTTTATTTTTAAATGTTTATTTATTTTTTTGAGAGGAAGAGAGCACAGGTGAACGGGAAAGGACAGAGAGAGGGAGAGAGAATCCCTAGCAGGCTCCATGCTGTCGGAGCAGAGTCTGATGCGGGCTCCATCCCACCAACCCTGAGATCATGACGGGAGCTGAAAGCAAGAGTCGGACACTTAACCATCTGAGGCACCCAGGCGCCCCAACAATTCCTTCTTTAAAAAACCCTGCTTTATTGAGGTGTGGTTTCCATACAGAACACTGTGGCTATTAATCAAGTTTGGAAAGTTCACACCCATGTAATCACCACCACAAATCAAGGCCATAAACCTACCCATCGCTTCCAAAAGTTTCTTCCTTCCCCCTTTTAAAACTTATTTTAATATGTTTAATATAATAATCCCTTCAGAAAGTCTTCCCTAAACATCTCGACTCACTCACTAGGTAAACTATGTACCCAGCAGGTTGCACACACCGAGCCTGGGCCAGGGGCGCACAAAAATGCTCCGAAGCCAAAATGGACAGTCTGAGAAGCTTTGGAGCCTACCCTTACAGCAAAGGATGCTGGGAGGGCAGACAGCAGGGGTTTCGAGGAGATCTCGCCGAGAGGTGAAGCTTGACCCCCAGCACGTGCAAGCTGTCGGAGTCCTAAGTAAGGCAGGTGGGAGGGGGATCAGGACGGCACCCGGGCCAGTTGTGAGTGATGGCGCGACCGCGCGGCTGCTTTGGGAAGCACTCCGACAGCTCCCTAGAGGGTTAAACAGAATCCCCGTATCAGCCGGCAACCCTCCTCCGGGGTGTGCCCCCCGGGGAAATGCGGACACACGTGCAAACCAGACACCTGTAACGTTCACTGCAGCACTGCTGAGAGGGTCCAGAGCGGAAACAACCCTCAGTGCCTCACCTGCTGAATGGAGGGAATAAAACATGTGCTCCAGCCACACGGGGGAGTATCGCCCAGCCATGAAAAGGAAGAAAGCACCAGCCTGCGCTCGTGAAGGAACCTCACAATCAGGACCTGCCTGGGGGCTCAGCCGGTTCAGGGCGTGACTCTTGATTTCAGCTCAGGTCATGATCCCATAGTTCAGGAGTTTGGGCCCCGCGCAGGGCTCCATGCCGTCACTGTGGAGCCTGCCTGGGATTCTCTCTCTCTGTGTCTCTTTCTCTCTCTGTCTGCCCCTCCCCTGCCCGTGCTCTCTCTCTCTCTCAAATAAATCATCTTTAAAAAAAATTCATGATGCTGAAAGACACACAAAAGACCACACAACGTGTGATTTCATTTCTATTAAGGAATGTGTCAGATACGAAGATTCAGGGACACACAAAGTAGATTAGTGGCTGCCAGGGGCAGGGGCCAGTAGGTAAAATGGGAATCATTGCTATGGGGCACACACTTCCTTTTTGCATTGTGGACAGGGTTTTTCTGTTTTTTATTTTAATGTTTACTTTTTTTTATTTTTTTTAAATGTTTTTTAAATTTATTTTTGAGAGGGAGATAGAGACAGCATGAGCAGGGGGCGGGGGTCAGAGAGAGATGGAGACACAGAATCCAAAACAGGCTCCAGGCTCTGAGCTGTCAGCACAGAGCCCGACGCGGGGCTTGAACTCACGATCCGTGAGATCGTGACCTGAGCTGAAGTCGGACACTTAACCGACTGAGCCACCCAGGCACCCTGTACCTGTAACTTCTGACGACATCCAGTCCCCCCCACCAGGGAGGCCTCTCCTCCACCCAGCGGGGACCACGTCAGGCCACCACAGGCTGGGGACGTGCTAGCGGGCTCACGGAAGGCCTCAAAGTACCCAAGCCTGGATTCCTCTCCAAGAAGTCCCTCGGGAGAAATCACGCGAGCTGCAGGGAAGGACTGGCGCCCAGCACGTCACTCTGGACGTTACTTACGGAGACGGGCCTGCGCCCCACACCAGGGCCTCCGAGAGGAAGCAGCCACAGCCCTTGAGCAAACCCCCACGTGGCCATTCACACTGATGCCGTGCGGGCTCTGAACCACGCGGACAGACGCTCAGGATGAAACCTTCGACCAGAGAAACGGGACGGAAAACCTGCTTAGCCGGCTTGGTGCTCATTTTTGCAAAACACTCGATGTGCAGGGAGAGACAGGCTCACAGACATTGCAAAGGTTATCTCCCGGGGTCAGGTCACAGGGCGCGTGGATGGTCGTAGCTGTGTTCTTCCGGATTTTTCTAAGCCCTTTATAATGATCACGCATGTCTATACCTACCAGAAATTTTCTTTGATTTTTATGATAGACTAGTTACAGCATCAAAAAATTATTTTAAAAAAATCGAACTCACTGGATGAACATTTAGGTACATTGATTATACAGGTAAACAAGTGATGTTTGTAAAGTTTATGAAGTTTCAAAATAAGGGAAATCCTTTTTTTTAAGTTTATTGTGAGAGAGAGAGAGACAGAGAGAGAGAAAGAGAGAATCTCAAGAAGGCTCCATGCTGTGAGAGCCTGGGTCAGGGCTTGAACTGTGAGATCCTGATCTGAGCGGAAACGAAAAGTCAGATGCTTAACCCCCTGAGCCACCCAGGTGCCCTGGGAAATGCTTACTGATTAAAGCTGGATGGGGGGAAAATACCAATATTAAAATGGCAGAGCCAAAACTTCATCAGTTTTTAAAAAGAATAATCAGAGGGGCACCCGGGTGGCTCAGTCGGTGAAGCGTCCAACTTCAGCTCAGGTCAGGATCTCGCAGTTCATGATTTCAAGCCCCGCGTCAGGCTCCGTGCTGTGAGCATGGAGCCTGCTTGGGATTCTCCGTCCACCTCACTGCCTCTCCCCTGCTCGTGCTCGCTCACTCTGTCTCCCTCCCTCTCTCAAAATTAACAAACATTAAAAAGAAGGAGAATCAGAGGAGGAAGGCAATAAGCGCATACCCAAGCTTACCAGGTGCTCCCTGTTTTCTATAAGAAGCATTTATTTATATGTTATTTTTTAAATTATGAAATATTTCTGGCATGAAAGGAAGTTTAGAGAAAAATGCAACAGCCACACACGCACCCCCGTGGAGCACAAGACACGTAGCGGGAGCCAGCCCGGGCCGGCCCTCCCTGCCCCCGCTGCCGGCCGCCGCCGTCGCACCCGGCCCGCGTCCCTTCAGCAGGCGTGTGGCTGCTCATAAGGGACATTCACACGGGTGGGACGGTGCTGCCTGGGGGCCTCTGTCACACTTGAGGTGACGCGTTTAAACACCACTTCCCAGGCGCCCACGGGTGTCTCCTGAAAGCCCCCAGGACAGAGCTGCTCAGCGCCAAGCTGGCCCGTCCCCTCGGCCGACCGACGCCAGGGGCAGGGGCAGGCAGGAGGCTGCAGAGCCGAGCATCACCCATGCACGCTACCCGCCCCCCGGACACAGGGCCGAGTCTGTGAGCCCTGCGGGGGCCCTGCCCCTGGCCTCGAGCCTCTGGAATGAGCGCGAGGTGACTCACCAGGGCCTCGTCAGTCAGCAGCTGGGTGGCCATCCCTCCAGCGCCCCGGGTGACACGGCAGACTGTGGCTGGGAGAGAGAGAGAGAAAGAAGATACAGTGAGAGACTGGGCCTGGGCCTGCTTCACCGTGCAGGAGCCAGGCAGGAGCCAGGCAAGGAGGGACACACACACACACACACACACGCCAATAACACATGCTAACCACGCTTACCGCATGCAAGGGCCTGGACACACGTCTCTCCCTCAGTCCTCCTAACACTCCTAACAGAAATAGGTGAGTCCTATTTCCACCCCATTTCACAGATGAGAAAACTGAGGCCCAAAAGCTAAGTACACACCCAAGATTCCACAGGTGGGAATGGACTTGGGCAGAGTACATCCAGGTCCACGTGCTGGCAGCCTTTCGAACACTCACCCAACACGCATGTGCACTCACACACGCAAATCCGTTTGCATTCCCACCGGCTGCTGGGAGCACAGGACCCTCTGCCTTCCCCCAGGCACCCTGCTCAGGCTCCCCCTCCCCGGTCTGAGTGCTGGTCTGAGGCCCCAATCCCCACCCCTGCTTTACGGCAATGCCCTGCTTCTATTTACAGCAGTAACACAGAATACCCCCCCTTTTGTAAATTTTTAAATATTTATTTTTGAGAAAGAGAGAGAGAGAGGAATGGGGGGGGGGGCAGAGAGAGAGGGAGACACAGAATCTGAAGCAGCTCCAGGCGCTGAGCTAGCTGCCGGCACAGAGCCTGATGTGGGGATTGAACCCACGAACCATGAGATCATGACCTGAGCCAAAGTTGGATACTCAACCGACTGAGCCCCCCAGACACCCCCAGAATGCCCTTTTAAACGAAGGTGACTTAAGTGAAATAAATTAATTTTTAAAAATCAGTGAGCCAATTTATTTTTTTTTTAAATGTTTTATTTATTTCTAGGAGAGAGAGACAGCGTGAGCAGGGGAGGGTCAGAGAGAGAGGGAGTGACAGACTCTGAAACAGGCTCCAGGCTCTGAGCTGGCAGTCAGCACAGAGCCTGACGCGGGGCTCGAACCCACGAACCGCGAGATCATGACCTGAGCGAAAGTCGGACGCCGAACCAACTAAGCCACCCGGGCACCCCTGTGAGCCAATTTAAATAAAAGACAAAGTACAATGCAGGACAGGTGACATAGTCTTGGGCAAATTCTTGTAGTTTAGGGAATGTTGGTTCAGTCCTGACTCCATGATGACCTGCCAGGACTTTGCATGTCTCCCATGATGGGGAGCTCACTACCTGTATCACCAACACCTCTGACCAGAAACACATTTTCCTTTTGCTAGAAGCCAAAATATGCCTCCCTCGACCTCCTGGAAGAAACACAGACCACTGGCTACTGTGCCGTTTCTCAAAGTGCCAGAAATCATTGGACATTTATTATTATTCAAAACACGTCTGTAGGCCCCTGCCCAGACACTCTTCATCAAACCCTCTGGGATGGAGCTCCAGAACCATAATTTTCAAACAAAATTCTTAAGGTGTAAAAACCACGAAGACAAGGGGCTTTCTGAGGCCAAATGGTCCCCCACTTTCACAAGCAAAAAGTCTGTGGTTCTAATGACACAGGTCACACATAAGGACAGGTTGGCTGAAACGTTCAGAAAACCGGTTCTCCCCGGGGGTGATTTTGGCCCCCAGGAGACACTGGGAGCACCTGGAGCCATGTGTAGGTGCCACGATTTGGGAGTGTGTGCCGCCGAGGGCATTTGGTGGGTGTTCTGTCACTGCACAAGACACCCCCACAGCGACGAATGTCAACGGCGTGCACGCTCAGAAGCCCCGCAGTTGATGACAAAGGCGCGGGCACAGGTGTCCCACCGCCCAGTCCGCACGCTGCACAGCACCAGGTCGCCGGCAGCAGTCCCTTGAGAAAAACGCCCTCGAGCTGAGGACTCTCCAGGCGATCCCGCAGCACGGAGGTCATCCAGCCCGCAAGCACCCAGCCCAGGGGCACCGGCCCTCCCGCCTGCTCCCTCTGCAGAGGTGCCCATCCCATGGCTAGCTGCTTCCCACGGCCACCCCCAGGCCCCCCAAGCTCAACACTCGCGCCCCGCCCCCCCATCTTCCTACAGCAGACATCACTGACAACTGGCTTTTTAAATAGTTGTTCTTGGGGAGCCTGGGTGGCTTAGTCGGTTAAGCGTCCGACTTTCGCTTAGGTCATGATCTCGCGGTTCGTGGGTTCGAGCCCCGCGTCGGGCTCTGTGCTGACTGCC